CGTCCGCATCTCAGCTGCCGATGGGCTTCGCCCTGTCCCCCAGGCCCCGCAGTCGGAACAGCGTGCGCGAAGCACCATTGCAGATAGGCAGCCAGGGAGTGGGAACGAAGGCCCTCCCTGGGGAACAGAACGAACTCCCAGCCCAGCCCCACCTGGCTGACGTCGCCCCCCGTTGCCGCAGCGCCCCTGCTGGAGAAACGGCTCTGCGGAGGGGGCGCGCCGCCGGAGGGAGGGAGGGAGGGAAGACGTCGTCGCAGCCGTCGTCCAGGATCGGCTTAGCATCGGCGTGGTGATTTTATCGGCAGATCGGAGGCCTCTGCCTCAGAAGGGCGGCGGGCGGACAGCTCGCGCCCCCCCCGTCAGAATTCTGACGCCAGATTTCCGGAGCAAGTCACATGCCAGAGCAGACGGAAAAGCTCAGGCGACCGGAACACGCACCCAACATCTCGTGCCGACATTCAGCGAAACGGCCAGGCCGGGCCCTGATTCTCAGACGTGCGAAGCACGTTCCGGCAGAGCCCCGCCGAAGCACGCTGGCGTCCACCGTGCCGCACAGAGGGCCGTGAGGCAGAGGGGGGGAGGAGGAGGAGGAGGAGGAGGAGGAGGAGGAGGAGGAGGAGGAGGAGGAGGAGGAGGAGGAGGAGGAGGAGGAGGAGGAGGAGGAGGAGGAGGAGGAGGAGGAGGGGAGGCCCCAGCCCACCCCGCCCCAACCCGACACGCGGAAGGGTAGCGCAGCCGAGAGGGAGGGAGGGAGGGAGGGAGGGGAGAGGGAGAGAGAGAGGGAGAGGGAGGGAGAGAGAGAGAGAGAGAGAGGGAAACAGACCGTCGGCTCGACATCGGCAGGAGGAGTCGGCAGCGGTTCGGAGGCCTCTGCCTCAGAGGCGCGGCGGGCGGACAAGTCGTGCCCCCCCCCCGCCGGAATTCAGGCCCTGGCTGCCCGGTGAACGTGAGCCAGAGCTGAGGAGCAGCTCAGGCGACCGGAGAGCGTCCCCAGGATCCCTTAACGACGTGCAGCGAGACGGCCGGGAGGGGCCGTGATTTTCGGCAGGGTGCGCAAAAACGTTCCGGCAGGGTCCCGCTGGAGCACTCTGGCGCCCACGCGTGCCGTGCTTGAGGGGCGTGAGGCACAGCGTGGCGTGGCGCATAGCGCGTGGGCCACGCGGCGGGGACAGGCAAGGAACAAGAGACACCCTACACCCTGCCCCCAACAGCGACACTCCCGAAAGGAACCCTGGGCTGAGGGTGCGGGCGAGCAAGGGCGGAAGGATCGGAGCGGAAGGCGGCAAGAAGGCATAGGACACGAACATGATCCAAAGCGAGAGCCCTCCCCCGAGGAGAGGTTGAACGGCCTCTAAGCAACCATTTGCATCCAACCCGGTGCAGACCACGCGGAGTACCCCCCTCCTGGCCCCTGCCGAGACGCACACACACACACACACACACACACGCACACGCACACGCACACGCACACGCACACGCACACGCACACGCACACGCACACGCACACGCACACGCACACGCACACGCACACGCACACGCACACGCACACGCACACGCACACGCACACGCACACGCACACGCACACGCACACGCACACGCACACGCACACGCACACGCACACGCACACGCACACGCACACGCACACGCACACGCACACGCACACGCACACGCACACGCACACGCACACGCACACGCACACGCACACGCACACGCACACGCACACGCACACACGCACACGCACACGCACACGCACACGCACACGCACACGCACACGCACACGCACACACACACATACACACATACACACATACACACACACACATACACACATACACACACACACCCACACACACCCACGCACACACGCACGCACACACGCACGCACACACACACACACACACACACACACACGCACGCACTCCCTAGCGCGCTGGGCCGCTGACGCCTGCGGGCTGCGCCGTGCCCCCGTGCGGAGGGGGAGGGAAGGAACCGCAGAGAGGCGGCAGAGGAGGGAGGCGGAGGGGAAGAGTGCGTTTTCCTCGGGCGGCCCATGAAGCAACCTGCACACATGCAGCGACAGACTGGGGCGGGGAGATCATCCATGCTTCCAGCAGCAATCATCGCCGAGACCTCAATCCCACCGATGGGTGCCGAGGCGCACCAGGGCTGTAAACGTGGACTACATCCCCCACGCGACCGACACGGCATTCTTCGCAGGGGAGACGCGAGAGGGAAGGTTGCCAGAAGAGAGAGGAAGAGACGTACCTCCAGTGCGAAACTTCTACAACATCCTCGTTTAGTTGACGCACCTCTGAGTGCACCGCGAATCCCATGCGCACTGCCTCTCCCAGGCGCCACGCTGGGCGCGCACAGGACCTGGGACTGCGCTGGCGAGGAGCAGGAAGTGAGTGCCACGGGAGGGCGAAAGAGGGGGAGGGAGGACAGGGACAATGGTAAAGGCCAGGGGAGAAAGGCGGAATGTCACGGGCCACCCCGCTGCCCACAGCTGTGCAGGCAGGGGGCGGCAGGGCGTCCTCCCGCGGGGCAACAGGCGGCCTGCCACTGTTGAGCGGCTCCGTCTACGCCGCGATTTTCTCCAGGTGCACCTCCCGCTCCACGGAGTGGCGGCCACGAGGACCTCCGCCCCCCTTGGAAGAGAGGTAGATCGTCACTGCCCCTTTCCCTGGGGCCTGCCTAGAAGAGGAGGCCCGTCGACGGGCCCTCCTTGGGCACGTGGGGCCGCTTGGCGCCGTGCCCTCCGAGGAGCGGCGCAATGGAGGGCCAGGTACGGTACATGGACAAAATGTTGCACCACCTGGTGATGTCAAGAAAGCAAGCCGATTTTGCAATGAATGTTCGCTTCCACCTCCCCCCTCCCCCCAAACTTAACATTGGCTGCGGTCCCGGGTTCATCGAAACGGCTCGGTGGTGCAACATTCTGTCGCGAGCCCTGGGGGTGCGCCAAGGGACCTTTGCCATGTGCCCAATATTAAGACCAGGGGGAGGGGGGGGGAGGAGCAATCCAGTACAGCTGACAATGCGCGGCAAAAGTGGTGCAACATTTCGTCGACGTACGGTAGTCGCCCAGTGGACGAGCTGGCAATCTTTCGGAACGGCCCCCTTTGGCAACAGGGAGACCCACCGGTCGCACCTGTTCGCCTCCCCGCGGGTCGCCCGGCACACGGGGAAGAGCGGGTTGGCAGCCGCAGCGGGGGGCCCACCTCCATTGGCCAGCCCGCATGTCTTGTGGACGTCCTCTGCTCCCAGCCACGGAGCGGCCGCCAGAGCGAGCTCTCTCTGCGGTGCCTGCGCAGGCAGCCCCGCGGCGACCTGTGGGGCCCACGCTTCCAGCCCCTCGCCCTGGAACCGCTGCCCAGCCACCGCCAGACCAGGAGACTGCTGGCCTGACCCTGCCCAGAAGCCCACCACGCCCTCGTCTCCGTGCCCCGGCTGCATCGGCTGGGGCGGCGTCCTGGAGGCAGCCTGCGGTGCCCTGGCGTGGGCCACCGCGCCCATGGGCCCACTGCCCCTGCACTTCTGCGGGGAGCACGCGCGGCGCAGGCTCGGTTGGCTCGCCGCACCGCGCCGGCCGTCGTGGCCTGGGCCCATTGCCCCCGCGGCGTTGGGTGGAAGGCCGCCTGGCCCGGCCATGCCCAGGTCCCTGGCACGCCGCCGGCTGCCTGCCCGCACTGCGCCGTCTTGGGGGCCTGCCCGGGGGCAGTCTGCAGCGCCATTGGTAGCGCCCACTGGTGGGGCAGCCGTGTCCACAGCCCCTGGGTGGGCCTTGGGCTGGCCCTCCTGGCCTCCCCAGCCCCAGGCTCCGTCAGGAGCCCACCCTTGGTGCGTTTGCTGCAACGGCCGCCCAGAGGCACCCAGCTGCCCCCACTCGGGGAGCGCCGCGGGGTGCGCCTGCCACTGCCCCGGCAGCTCCTGGGATGGCGCTGGTGAGCCAGCAGACCCCTGCTCTGCCCCCTGCACCCCTGGCTGCGTCGGCGTCGGAGGCGGCAAGGCTCCCTCGCTGGCTTGCTGCTGCTCCAGGGCCTGCTGCACCTGGTTGCTCCGCCCCCTGATGGGCTGCGCGCGTGTCCCTCCAAGGCGCTGCCTGTCCTGCCTCCGAGCCTGTCGCCTGCCACTGGCGGAGCGCAGCCGCGTGGGCCTCCGCTGCCTCTGTGTTCCCCTCTGGCTTCTGCAGCGGCGCCACCCCCGATGGGGCCTTCTTGGAGAGGCCCAGCGCCAGGTACTGCGCCTTCCCCAAGGTGCCCTGGGGGCCTGCGGCCCACGGGAGTGGGGCTCGGCCTGGGGGAGGGCTTCCCGCAGCCACAGCCCGCGCCCGGAGCTGCTGTCTCTTCTCGTCTAGTTTCGCCCACCCCGCTTTGACGAGGCGGTCGTGGACAGTGTCCTTGTGCGGCCCCTCAGGCGGCGGCATACTCTTCACTTCCACGTTCGCGGCCGCATGGAGTGCGGACCTCAGCGGGCCGTTGTGCTTGATCCAGTGGGCAGCCGCGTCCGCCGGCGTGGCCTCCAGCCAGGCCTGCATGGGGTCTGCGGGGCCCGCCATGCTTAGCTGTGCCGGAGGGGTTCGATGCGGCCTGCGGCACTGACCTCAAAGCTGGCGCCCCGTGCTGCGGAGGAGGGTGCGCGGCCACTCAGACCCATACCAAGTCATCCTCCCGTCGACTTGGGGCCAAGCTCACCTTAGCCCAGCCGCAGACTGGGGGTACCTGCGTGCTGAGAGAGGAGGGGGGGCCTCGCCTCCGAGGGAGACTTGTGGAAAGGGTGAGAAATGGAGGGGGGGAGGGAGGGAGGAGGAGGATGGAGGAGGAGAGGAGGAGGAGGAGGAGGAGGAAGGAGGGAGGAGGAGGAGAAGAGGGGGGAGAGAGGAGGAGGAGGAGGGGGAGGAGGAGGAGGAGAGAGGAGGAGGAGGAGGAGGAGGAGGAGGAGGAGGAGGAGGAGGAGGAGGAGGAGGAGGAGGAGGAGGCCATTCGTCTCCCGTCCCTCGCAGGCCGATTCCTCCCGAGAGGCCGCGCCAGGAGGCCTTTGAAGCTGCCGCGGCGGCGGCGCCGGCGTGCGCCATGGCCGCGGCCCGCGCCGCTCTTTGCCTGGCCCTGGCGTGCGGCGCGCTGGCCGGCGTGGGCACGGCGGAGACGCCGGCAGCACCCCTGGACTTCCAGCGGGTGAAAGATGCCAGCCCCCCCCCCTCCCTCCTCCTCCTCCTCCTCCTCCTCCTCCTCCTCCTCCTCCTCCTCCTCCTCCTCCTCCTCCTCCTCCTCCCTCCTCCTCCTCCTCCTCCTCCTCCTCCCTCCTCCTCCTCCTCCTCCTCCTCTTCCTCCTCCTCCCCACCTTGCAGGGACGTCCTCCTCTCCCCCCTCCTAGCAGCACGGCCTCCTCCCAGCACCCTCTGAGAGCGCCCCGCGGCGCGGGCGCGGCGGGTGCAGAGCGGAGGCCGCCAGGGAGAGGTGAGAAGGGAGAAGCGAGAAGCGGGGGAGGAGGCGGGAGGGGGGAGGACAAGGAGGACGAGGACGAGGACGAGCACGAGGAACGGGCCGGGCCATTCGGAGAGCACGTCGAGGAGAGAGGGCGCACGGGCAAAAAATGGGTGCCCCCCTCCCCCGCCCGCCTTGGCTCCTCCTCGGCCCGGGCTGCCCGCAGGCAGCGCCCTTGGACTCTGCGGCGGCCAGGGCCAACACGGTCGGGACAGAGGCCCGGAGTGTGCGTGCTCCCCCCGCCCAGAAGAGGGCAGCTCCAGATCCGCAGATCCAAGCGCACGTCGACTTTGCCGTGGGCTGCGTGCTGCTGGGCGCCGTGACCTTCATCATGACGCTCTTCTACTTCCTGAACAGCCAGGACCCGGACAGGCGCAACTACTCCTGGGCCATCGTCAGCTCGGCCATCGTTACTTTCAGCGGCGTGCTGGTCACGAGCGCGTGGAACGGCCTGCTCAAGTACCTGTACAGCGAATGTGTAGGGAGTGCACCTGGACAGACTGCACAGGCCGTGCTTTGTCTGTGGGCATACCTGGGCTGGTACTTGGCGCTGCAGGTGGTGCTCGCCTATCAGTCTGGCGCCATAGGGCAGGCTCCGAAAAGTATAGACGATATGGTCTCGGAGTGCAAGTGTTGGGCAACGCTGATGAGCATGATCACCGGCAACTCTTGCATGAGTTTCTGGGGCCTTGTGCAAATTTCTGTCCGCACGGCGTACCCCGAAAGTACTCTTGCCATCTTTCTGGTCATTCCGACATGTGTGATGCACAACGCTTTGCGTGAGCAAGGCCAGACATGCGCTCTTCCGTTATGGTTCCTTCTTTTCTTCCTTCTGCCGGCCGGCCCTCCCTGTACTATTGATTTGTTTCTTTCTCCCTCATCCGTCCCTGGGTCCTCTTAGTGACGACAGGCGGTCGTTCTGCGCCGTGCTGGTGTGGCTTACAGTGCCTTCTTGGGCCATCTCTGGGTCTTTTCGGGTTTCTTCTGCCACTATGGGGGTCAGCTTGTTCCGTTGTTGCATCCTTTTGGGGCCCTTTGGAGTCGCTTTTGGCCGCTCTGGAACTGATCCTGCGCCGTCTTGGGGCCCTTTGAGCATTCCTGGTCTTGGCGCCCTTTTGGGACGTCTTAGGTCGTCTTGGCGGTCGCGCGATCTGTCGAGGGCCCCTCTTGAGCTCCACCTGGGTTGTCTGGCGCCTTCTTGGGGCTGTTGGACCGGCTTCGGGTCTCGTTGTGATCTCTTGGGCATCCCTGAGACCTCAGGCCACATTGCGCAGAAAAGTCAGATAAGCAGCAGGCGGTTGGTCGTCGTTTTCTTATTCATTGTTTTGCCGATCGGCGCGGGCCTTCGCCCCACCCCCTTCCCCCCCTTTGGAGTAGATCTTGGCTGTTGTTGGCGCCTGAATCAAGCGGGTGGAATCCCCCCCACAGGACGCACTGTTCCAAAGAGTCGCACTAAGCAGAGGTCTGGAGCCCGATCCCCCCCTCCCCCCCCCTTGCGCCCAATGTCGAAACGTCGAATAAGAAAACGCTCACTTGATAAAATTTGCCATTGGATTGTTTTGGTTGCCTTGGGACTTCTTGGGTCCTCTCGGGGCCTCTCGAGTCGACTGAACTTCCCAGGCCCACCCAAGAAGTCCTCGATGGCCCTCGCCCGCCCCCCCTCGCCCCACAACGCGAAGATCAGTTTTGTCCACAGGAGGCGCCAGGGGGGAGCAGCATTCTCACACGCCCGTACCCCAATGGGGTCGGCGAGTCTGTCAGCTAGTCCTGTTTTGGATGTCCCAGCGCGTCCGATACTGGATCGCCTTGGCCGACGATGGCGCGATGGACCAGTATGAAGCGCTGTGGGACAAGTTTGTGGCAGACCTGGAGGGGGGCGTCCTGAACATGTCGGCATCGCACCTCTCCATCCAGGCCATCCGCGCGGTGATATCCGGCGACATGCCGCTGTTCAACGGGACGAACCCGCCAGGATTCCAAGCCCAGCACAAGGACTCTGTCGAGCTGTTCCTCATGGCCGTGGTGTTTGGGATCGCCATGGTCATCGTCAACCTGATGCAAGTGCGGTTCCGCGGCACGGAGCTGAAGATCACGAAGAGCCGGCTGAAGGGCACCCTCGGCAACTGCATCGCGTTCTGCCTCCTGTGGTCCCTGAACTGGTCCATTGGGAGAACCCTGGGCGTCCACGGCGTGGTTGGCGGCATGGTCCTGGCTCTCGTGGTGACCATGCTGGGGATGTTTCTGATCGTCGCCCTCGACCAGCTTGCAGACCTCGAGTGCACGAGCGAGAAGTTCGACGAGGAGCTCTATGCCTTCTGCCCGTGCATCGCGATCCTGATCGGGTTCTCGTGGAAGCAGGCGTTCACGACCTCCGTCGGAACGCTGACGCAGCAAACGCACTACCTTGACCCAGCCATCGAAACATTGATATTGACAGCCTGCCTCGTCACGGTTGTCATCCCCGCCTGGAAGTTGTATATACTTCCCGTCATCTTGGAGCCCGAGCTGGCGGCCATCAAGAAAACCATGCCCGACGTGGAGCAACCTGCCCCCGCGCCCGCTGCCGATGCGCACCTCGAGGGCGAGAACGCCGTCAGGCTCTCCATCGCGGGGACCGCCCAGTACGACGTGAAGACGATGCAGGAGGCCGAAGAGCAGAAGGACCCCTCCCGGGCGGAGGGGCTCCACGCCGCGCTGCTGCAGGGGCGCGGGCCCGCGAGCGGGGCGGGCATGGGCGACATCTGCTTCAGCCGCGCGGCCGGCGTGGGGACCCCGGCCACGGACAACGAGCTGCTCAGACGGCGCAACGAGGACAGGCCGGGCTCAAGACGGGGGCTGACCGCAGGGGTGCGCGCGCGCACGCGTGCATCTGTGTGTGTGTGTGTCTGTGTGCGTGTGCGGACCGCAGGTCCACCACCCCTCGTCTGCATCCCAGTGCGACGGCTCGTGCACTGTGCTTTCGACCACGCTCGATCGCAACCAGCACTTTCATCTGCTGCCCGCGCCTGAGGACCCCCTGCGCCGCCGACTTACCTGCATGTGTGTGTGTGTGTGTGTGCGTGTGTGCGTATATGCGTGCGTGCGTGCGTGCGTTCGTGCGTGCGTGTGTGTGTGTGTGTGTGTGGTGTGTGTGTGTGGTGTGTTCGTGGTGTGTGTGGTGTGTGTGTGGTGGTGTGTGTGTGTGTGTGGTGTGGGGGGGGTGCGTGTGTTTGTGTGTGTGTGTGTGCGTGTGTGTGTGTGTGTGTGTGTTTGTGTGTTTGCGTGTTTGTGTGTATGTCGGTCGGTGTGTCGGTGTATGTGTGTGCGTTTGTGCGTGCGTGCGTGCTTGCGTGCTTGTGTGTTTCGGCGGCGCAATGCGACAGCCTCACGGAGCAGCGAGAATCAACATCTGTTCCATTCAGGGCCCGTGCGACGAACGGGACTATACAGGCTAGGAGTAAACGCCCGTGCTCCCAACCCGCACCTCGCTTCGTCTGCGGAGAATGGCGCTAATATACTGGGCTCCCAAAGTTCCCGTGTACACCAGTAGCCGTCCGTCGTCATTGATTTCGTTTCAATTTCGTTTTAAGTATCGTCAGTCGTTGTATCATCGTCGCAGCGTGGAAAACGTCGACAGGGAACCGCGCAGCCGTCTGCCCACAGAAGGGCCCCCGCGGGAACCCACAGGGGGCCGCGCATCGGGGCAGGCACCCACGGACCTCGTGAGGCCCCTCTGCCGCACACTCCCAGAACAGTGTGGTGCGGAGAGCGTCAGCACATACATCCTGCAGAACAATCGTGAGCAGGGCCGCTTTGCTGGCTCACGGGCCAGACAAGTGACGCGATAATGCATACACCATAGGACACAATGCTCTCGTGCCTGGCGTTTCATATTGTCCAAGCTAATGAAGGGCACGGAATACACTAGTCTGATAGGCAAGGTACAAGGTGAGCAGGGAGAGGCCGCCCTAGACGGTGGACGGTTTGCCGACAGGCTGGTACTCCACCTGCTGGTCGGAGGCCCATGCGCAGCATGCTTCCCACGATTGTGGCAGACACGAATATATCGTTTGTGATCCCGACGGTCGCACACACACATACACACACAAACACACAAACACACTCACAACCACACACACACACACGTAACCACAGAGGAATAAGGAAATAATGCACGCCTCTAGCAGGATGAGGCCCACCCAGCACGGCATGGACTCGTCACTCTCGGCGACATTGAAACATGTCAGCATACCTGGAAACTCCAACTGGTCCACCCAGAAATCCTGTTGCACAATCTCAAATAGCTTCTGGATGTTGTCTTTCTTGCTTTTTGGAATATGAGGCCTTTCGCGTAGGAGCTGAGCAAGCAAGCCACATGCTTCGATGCCTTCCTGCTGCTCCACATGGCCTCCCACTCATCCTCGAACTCCTTCGGCGACCCCGTCTTGAGAGTGACAATGTGGCCCATCTCGGCGTTGAGTAAGCGTATCTGGAACGCGGTGAGGTGCCCATCTGCCTTCTCGACGGTCACCTCGCCATCTTCCTCGTCCTCCTGCCGGCCTCGGCAATCGGAGCTCCGTCCCGTAGTCCCAGGCGTGCGAGGTGGTTGCCGCCGCCGTGGAAGTGTCCAGGGCGCGCCTGGCGGGAGGAGGAGGAGGAGGAGGAGGTGGAGGAGGAGGAGGAGGAGGAGGAGGAGGAGGAGGAGAAGGGGCAGGGGGAGGGGCAGGAGGAGGAGGAGGAGGAGGAGGAGGAGGAGGAGGAGGAGGAGGAGGAGGAAGGGGAGGAGGAGGAGGACGAGGAGGAGGGGGAGGAGGAAGTTGGTGCCTCTGCTGCTGCTGCTGCTGCTGCTGCTGCTGCTGCTGCTGCTGCTGCTGGGGGCTGAGCGGCCGACGCCGCCGCAGCTGTGGCCCGGATCCCTGCGTCGAAGGATGACTTCATCGCGGCCGCGAGCGCCTCCTCCTCCTCCGCCGCCTCCTCCTCCTCCCTCCTCCTCCTCCTCCTTCTCCTCCTCCTCCTCCCTTTCCCAATCCCCCCCTTGTCCGTACGGCCCCGAGGAGCGCGGGCCTCACGTGGGCGACCCCAGAACCTCCCGGATCCCACCCACGAGTATGCACCTCGTGGAGAGCCTGCGCCTCCTCCTCCGCCTTCTCCTCCGCCTCCTCCTCCGCCTCCTCCTTCTCCTCCTCCCCCTCAAGCTTTCAACGGGCGTCCCTGGTACGGACTTTCTCAATCTCCCCATGAGCACGGAACCTAGCATCCTTGCGGCGCAGCAGTTTCCTGGCATTGCGCGAGGCGCTTCTCCTCCCACTCGTCGGACGACTCTGACGACGACTGATGGTGTAATGCACGGCGCGAGAGGCGATCAGCACGGCGGACACGGCGAAGTCCATCGAGGTCACCCTTTTGGCCAGGTTCGCTCTGAAAGCCCCGGTTCTCTTGCTCCCTCGGGCGCCGCTGTCCCCTTTGGCCTCTCTCTTCATGGCGCGACCTCGTATGGAACCCCAGCGGTGTACGACTCTACGGGCGTCGAGGGCGCCCGGGATGCACCGAAGAGCACGATCCAAAGAGCGAATGACGAAGTATTGGTGAGCAAGCTGATGCAATTCCAGGAGGAGCTCACGAAAGATGAGGGTGGTGAGGTGATGCGTGAGGGAGACTTGTGTTGCCCGGCAAGAAACATCCCTCGAATGCACGACAAAATCATAGGCATGTTGTCAGGCCACTCCAGCATGACTGCAGGCGGCCTCGTGCCCTCTGTCTCGCCAAGATGCCAACGCCGATTCGGAGTGTGCAGAAACCCGTGAGATCAAGCCTCTTCATCCCTTCTATGGGGCCCAGGTTTCACGAGAGCTTACCCACGGATATGGACTCAAGGTACATCGACTTGACAAACTCCCCGACACATGCACAGCAATTTCTGTTCGAGAAGGCAAGAGCGTCATCCACACACGCAATCGTGGACTCGATGGAGAAACCCTGTAGGGAAACTCCGCACCGTCACTTTCAAGAGACTGCACACGGTAGCATTCTTTTTTACAGAGATGCAAAGAGACGCACGCGGACGGCATCACAACGCCAATGCCCATGCCACGTATCTCTGGAACCATGCCCGCGCAGGCAAACACGCACACACACATGGTCAGCATTGATGTTGCAACAGGCGTCCTGCGGACGTGGTCCATGGAAATAACATGCCAATTATGGCTGTAGGCCCTGCCCGTGTGACGGACTTGACAATGTGGACCTCACTGCACAAGAATACGATCACCCTGCTCTTGCTGCTGTGCGTACAACGTTGTGACCTGCGCCACCTCCGTCGCGATTAAAGCTGGACGCGCATGCCTCACATGCTTGGTCGATGTCGAAGATGCCGCCTCGAAGCTGAGGCTCATGCTGCACTCCGCAGCGTGGACACCGAAAAAGCCATCCTCCTCAGGAACGGGCGGGATGAGGGAGGAGACCGCGGCCTACAGGGTAACCGAAACTTTCGGAAGTATCCAGCAATTCATGGCCACGAACTTTTGGATCGCACCACTTTCTGCACGCGGAACAACTTTCCAATCCAGTGCACAAGGAACCGCACTCATGTCGATGACCCGCCGCCAGCGATTGTGACTTTGAACTATGCAAATTGTCTCCCCTGCATCCGAGTAGCACTTGGACCTAATGAGGGGGAAGGGGGTGGGTAGGCCGCTGTGTCGGCTACCCTTCTGCCTCTGCTTGCCCCAGTCCAGCTTCCGTAGAAAGCCCCGCAGATCAAGGTGAGCTCGCGCACGGAGCCAGACCAGAACCCGACGGGGGCCGAGGTTAGGACGATGGTGCCACGAAGAGCCGCTTGCCTGTAACGGTGCAATCTTGGTGTGAGTCATGAGCCCCGTCTTGCAAACGATCCACGCCTTGCCTGGAAGCCGATTGCCCTGGATGACAACTTTGTTGCTCCGCGTCGCTGCTTGCATGGGCGCCTCCAGTTGGCACCGCATTGGAGTGGCAGTAGGAACGTGTGCATGGCCGAGTACACGCCCGGAGCAGACCGCACCAAACCCACGTACTCGACGTGGAAGATGGAGGACGTTGATCCACTGCCTGAAATTCCTTCGCGCCGTCTGCTGCACCCCCCAAAGCGTATGCCACCGTGGAAGCCGCCACGGCGCAGATATAGCACTTGGAGACGGTGCCAATGCCGCACTGCCTAGTAGTTCTGGAGGCAGTGTGGCCAAACACCACTTGCCCACACGAGACGGCATAACAGACATGTGGGACTTGATCCACTGCTTTGCGACAAACGTTACCTGCGCCTCCGCAATTCGTGAAGCATCTGCCTCGATGCCACCCTGCTGCTTGAGAACGGACCTGGGAAGGAGCGGCGGTGGCATGGTGGCTGGCGGTAGACGGGCAGACCGAAGAGCGAAATTGTTGGTGCGAGTGACGGTCATCTGAGGGCTACACATTGTTCATTTCTATTTCGTCTAGCGGGCAACCCCGAAACAGCACGCAGAATTCTTACGTTTCTAATTCTTCCCGGGATTAGAAATGAGCGGCTGTAGAAATGAACAATGTGTATTTGGCCGCAGGAATTGCGACACGAGACCGACCAAGCCGTAGAGATAGGACGCCCACTCCTTTTGACGTCCAACGATGGAGGCCGGCGGATCGTGCTGCGGTTGCTACCAAGATGTGCACGGTGGTGCAAGTATGTTGGCCCGATGTGGCCTTTCCACTGCTTGCGGGGACGGATCGACACGGTGCAACTCGCGGAAGGGGTTCCGCAGATGTGAAACGTCGTGCGTGTCAGGTCGTGGGCGATTTGCCCCTGCTAGGCTGCTTGCAACTGC